AAAGAGTGCCTTTATTTATAGTGTTCCCCACGCCCATCCCCAGATCAGGGCCTCAGGGCTCACACGTGCATTCGGTTCATTATGCCTCATTAGTGTTTGAATCTGGAAGTTCTCTCCCCACCTTTGCATGTAAGTGGCACGTCCATTTCCTAGTCTTTGCTTTGTTGACGGTGTTTTTCTCCAGATCATTCTTCGTGCATCTGTGGGGTCAGGCGTGCGTATTCTAAGTGTTTTTTCTCTCTTTGATGTGGCACTCCTTCAACGTAAACGTGTGAAGGGATTGTGCCCAGTGGGTGGGAGAGTGTGGCCTGTGGAATGAGCTGAGCAGAAAGATCATCACGGTGAGAAACTCGGGGACTGTGGTAATTGTGGCCTAGGGCTCAGCATGTCCCAGAAGAGCCTCTGCCACATAAGAGGAAGGGCTGGGCCGGGCCTCCACCAGATGAGTCAGGAGCCACAGGAGGGGCAGAAGTTGGTAGGTCTGATTTGGAGCCGGTGTCCTGCTGTGGCATGGAGGGAGTGGGGTGTGGCTGGTGTGATGGTCCTGCCAGAGTCCAGGACACCATCCAGGAGGGAGCCGCCAGCTGGCCGGGACCCCAGGGCTCTGGCAGGGGCCTGGATCGTGGCTAGAGAAGCTATGGAAAGTGGGTCTCCCACCAGGCTGGGAAGCCCAGGGCCCAGCTGAGTTGCGACAGGCAGGCTGGGTCTATGAGGCACTTCTGGGGCTTGGAGAGGTGTCATGGTGGGCATAAGACTCAGTGGGGGTGCGTGAACCCCAAGGGTGAGGGTGAGGTCCCTGGTGAAGCTCTTGGTGGGGTGGGGTGGGGTGTGGGGGTTGTGGAAGTTGGCAGGGCACTGGGGTCAGGCCAGGGAGCAGCGTGGGAGGGAGGACCACCCTCAAGACGGGACTGTCGCCAAGAGATGTGGCTTGGGGGTGTGCCTCCCTGCCTGCCTTGGCTTGACCAGGGCAGAGTGGCAATGAGAAATCGGGGCCCAGCCAAGCTGATGGGGCCTTGAGGTGCTGTGGCCCTGGGCGCAGGGACAGCTGGGGTATAGCCATCCGGGTGCGCAGGAACCAAGGGCACTGAC